CCCCCCCCAATATAGCCTATTCTTGAGAAAATTCCTAATATTTTCCCCCCAATATTGCCCAATACAGCAATTACTGTGTAATTGCTTACTAAATCATATACTATTACCACTCAACTGCTAAAACAGCATTTGTATTAAGAGGTGCCATCAAAATTAAAGAAAAATGTCTTATGTTTGAAAAATTAGTTTGCACTGTTGCATTGTGTATATGGTACTAAAAATTTACTTTAAAGCCTTACTTGTATATAACATGATGAAATTAGCTTTTTTTTTTTTTTTTTTTGTCTAAGTATCTTACATCTTGTACATAGGGAGCTCTGGTGGTATAGGGCTTAAAGCATTTGACTACTAACCAGAAGGCTGACAGTTCAAACCCACCAGCCACTCCTCGGAAGGAAGTTTGGGCAATCTTTCTGTAGCAGTACCACATCGGAAGCCCAAAGAGGGGTCACTATGAGTTGAGACCAACTGAGTTTGGTTTTGGGTTTTTTTTTTTTTTTTTTTTTAAAAAAGGAATACCTGTTATGTTTCCTAGATGATTCCTTATCTTTAATAAGAATTGAAGTAAAATCTCTAATAAGAATTGAAATAATGAGTAGAGGTCTTGAATACAAGAAGTTGTCAATCAGAGTGTTCTAAATTTTTTTTTTCTAGAAATACTAATTTATTTTTATTCCCCAGGAGATCATCTTACATTTTTTTTTTTTAACTGTGGTTTAGGTGCATATTTACATATCAGACTTGTCTTACAGTCAACAGTTCATGCACATCTGGTTTCATGGCCCCGATTACCATCCACAACTATAAGAAACTCCTCCCTGTGACCACCCCCTCCCTGTGCCTCTCATCCATGCATTCCTGTCTGTCCAGCCTTCCCTCTATATGGATGCTACCCGTCTACTGTCTCATGGCTGCTTGATCCAAGGAGTGCATCTCCCTAGAGCAGGTGGATGCATTGACCTCTGAAGTAGGTGTTCTGTATGTGGGTCTTTTCTGCTGTTGGGCTGAGAGCCAATCTTTGTAAGTGAATCCATTTCTAGGTTCAAAGGGTAATTTAGGGCCATAGTCTTGAGGGTTCCACCAGTGTCTATCCAACCAGTAGTTGTGGTCATTTCAGAATTTTGTTCCACATTTTTCTTCCCATTCTATCTAGAATCTCCAGGTTTGATCCCTTTCCAATTAGTTGACATTGGTAGCTGGCACCATCTATCTAGCCCTTCCAGTCTCAGGTCCTGGAGGCTGAGGTTCTCATGGTCCATCTTACCTTTAGACTAATTATTTCCAGATGACTGACTTTCTTCACTCTTCTTTGCTTCAGCTGAAGGGAGACCAATAGTGGCATCTTAGATGGCAACTCAAAAGCTTTTAAGACTCCAGTCACTACCTCCCACCCTGTCTTCTGTTGCTTCTGTAATGCATGTGGCTAATTTTGTGGCACTAGTGCACATGTAAGATTATCTTCAGCCAAATCTATCCTTGGCCTATAGTGTATTCCTGTTTGCCTACCCTCACCTGCTTTTCTAACCTGTCTATG